ATAAAGATTAGAGAGAAACTATGAAAGAAGAGTTCAATGCATTGATGAAGAAAAAACTTGGAAACTTGTACCTTCATCACATTTTATAACATAATGGGAATCAAATGGGTTTTTAGAGAGAAACACAATCCAGATGGATCAATTTAAAGGTTCAAAGCAAAACTGGTAGTTAAAGGATTTCATTAAACCCCTGGAGTTGATTTTGATAAAAAATTTATTCCAATTATCAAAACATCAACTCTAGGACTTATTCTCACTTTTGCAGTACTAAAAGATCATTCAATCTACAGAACTACAGTAGAAGGGTTGCAATATCTCACACACACTAGACCTGACATCTTTGCTGTAAATAAATTGAGCTAGTTTTGCAATCACCAACATTAACACATTGGCAGGCATTGAAGAGAGTGCTAAGGTATCTAAAAGGAACAATAGATCAAGGGTTGTGGATACAAAGAAACAATTGATTAACTTTGAATGGATATTTAGATGTAGATTGGGCTTTCTGTCCTGATGACAGGAGATCAACAACTAGATACTACATCTATGTAGGAGATAATTTGATAGCTTGATCATCAAAAAGCACCACGTCGTTGCTAGATCAATTACAGAGTCAGAATATAGAGCTTTCACATCTGCAACCTTAGAAATTGCCTGGATTCGACCTTTATTCAAAGAACTTCAATTGTTACAAGTGTTAATAACAATCTTATGGTGTGATAAGTATTTTTTGGCCCATATATATCACACTTAATTTTAAATTGTTCCTTGAATTAATAAATGTTAAATATGGATTTTAAAATGCTATTTAAATCAATAGAATTTTTTTAAAGTATCTAAATTTATTTATTATTTTAACTCCGGGTCGACTCCGGTTCAACTGTTTGACCCTTGAACCTTTACAATTTTCGGGTCGATGACTGGTTCGATTTTCAAAACATTGATATAAACCTCAGTCTATTATAAAGGACTTACGCTCTTCATCTGCTGGGTGTATTAGTATCTAATTGTAGCTTAAGTAGGTATCCTCGAAGCTCAACATTTTGTGACCAGTAGTCGAATCAACAAGTTGGTCGATTCGTGGTAGTGGAAAACTATCCTTAGGGCAGGCTTGGTTAAGATTGAAAAAATCCATGCATATTTTTCATTTCCCGTTGTGTTTCTTTACTAGAACGGGGTTCGATACCTACTTCGGATAGGTAGATTCCCAGATGAAGTGATTATCAATCAATTTCTTGACCTTATCTTTCAAAACATCATATTTTTCTTGGTTAATGACTCCTTTTTTTTGCTGGTGAGGATTAGAATTTGGATTGACCCTCAGGTGATGGCAACTAATTTTTGGATAAGTGCCAACCATGGTGTCATACTTCCATGTAAAGACATCCAAATCTTCACGTAAAAAGCATTTCAAATTTTTTTAGCTATTGTTGGCATGTCTTTTTTGACCTACAAGGACTTGGAGGGGTACCAATGATCTACGGTAAAGCTCTCCAACTCTTCAATCAAAGCTGTCCTAGCTCGCAATCTATTATACATGGATCCAGCTCATCAAGACATGTCACTTCTTTAGTAGCTTTCCTTTCTTCAGGGGTTGAATATACTTCGAAAATAGCCTCTTCTTTGAAGCTTCTATCATTTTGACGTCATTTAAATGTTCAGGAATTTACCCTTGCACAAGGTCATCATTCTCATCAACGTCCATTAAAACAACATTGGCCTCCCTTAGCTCAGCTTTACTAGGAGAGTTGGAGTTGCACTCCCTAGTGATTGTGGCTATGCCATTTTCTGTTGGAAACTTCATACACAGGTGGTGAATGGATGTTACAGTCCATAACACTTTTAAGGCTAGTCTTCTAAGTACTTCGTAATAGGCAGAGCATTTTTTGAGATAAAAGTCCTCAATTTGCCCTAGTCCAATGATCTCTCAATTCTTCATTGATGATCTCCGACCTTATCATTTTTAGCAAGGCATCATAATTTGTAGGGTCCTTATTTTGTAAAGCTCTCTAAAAGAGAGAGTTCATATCCAATCTTCCCCTTAGGACCATTAGTGCCTCCCTATCTATGACTTGCACATAGTAAGTAATCTTGTCAATAAAACGAGACAGAAAATTTTTTAATGACTCATTTGTTGCTACCTCATATCCTAGAAGCGTTGTATTGGTTCTTCACTCTCTTTGTTTGAGGTGAAGTTTTTAAAGAAAGCTTTCTTAAAATCTAGCCAGCTTCAAATGCTTCCCTTTGGGAACTTGGTGTACCATACCTTTAGATGGAAGGCTCTGCACTTCATGGAAGGATAGTTCTCTTAAGCTCATGTGGGTTTTGAAACTATTGAGGTGCTTTGTAGGATCACATCTTCCATCATATTTGGGTATTTTGGGAAGCGTAAAGTCGTTCAGGATGGGAACGTTCATAATCCCTTTTGAAAATGGCGTATTGTCATCATCATCAAGGTCGCAGGAACTCTACGGCTCATTAGAGTCTTTGTCTTCTCTTACTTGTATTTCCTGAGGTCCTACTTGATTTCTTATCTATTCTGCCCTCCTCTCATGCCTTTTTCTAGGTGAAGGATTCAAAGGCATGTCAGTATCACCTTGTTGTTTTATCTTTCAAAATGTAACAATCTCTGCTGCCTATTTCTAGGTTGCCTTAGGCTTAACCTATTGAAGATACTAACTGACCTACGAGGCAGGTCTTCCGAATCATAGCTTGGAGGAAAGTTGAATGGGACCTTGTGAGGTCAATTAGTGGCATAGTTGGTGGATCAACCTCAACTTCTCTTTCTTGAAGGCCATCTTCTTTGTTATATTGTTGGCATCCAGCCATTTGGCTCTGAACCTCATCTTCGTTGTGGTTATTAATTTCCTTGAGATATATCTTGGAATGCATTGACTGAGCTGTATAAAGAGGAACGGGATACCCTCCCTTTCCTTGCATGTTTCTTATCAGCTCCTGCATGGCAAGGTTTTATTGGGTTATGCTCCTCAAACTGGTAGCCATGGTGGCTACTTCTCTAGTGAGTTTAACTGCTATTGTGGACCCTCCTCTTGATTCTCCTCACCTATGCGGTTAGTGGAATTGATGGCGAGTTGCTGGAGCAGCATGCGACTGTATCCCTTCTTCAGGGTATTCCCTAACTCTCCGAGGTGCTGACTCGTTATTGGAAGAACTTATGGTAATGTTTCTGTACAACTTAATTTATTGGCATCGTAATTTTCTTTTGTTCAAGGAATTTCCAGGGCGTTGTTAAAAAGTAAGTTTGAAAGAATAGTTGGTGATTCTTTTATTCAAGAACACCTCATTTTCTTCAATGGCAAGATGTCTTCTGAAACAATGATTGCTGGCCTTTAAACACAAGATTCTCGTGGTTGAATGTATTGTTTCCAACAGACGGCGCCAGTCTATTGACCCCCTTTTTTGCAATGGCAATGTGGATAACAGATGTCGAGCCCACTTGTGCTTATGCATGCAATTTTCAACACGTTTCCATTGAAATAACCAATCGGAGGATTTTTGACAACAACGGACGTAGGATATGCTCAAACGCATGAGACGAATACGTTCGAGCACCAGCAATATGGTCGAAAAATAATTACCAATGGACAAAGGATAGCACTTCAGTTAAAGAGTATCTTGTTCCTTTCTTTATTTTTTTATCTTGTTGACTGCTAGCTATCCTTATCTAGTATCTTCACGTGACATTGACGCAGCCTTCAATAAGTGCCTCGGACATGAGGTGTAACACACATTATTAAAAAAAATTTCATTCCATAATCTCCCTTGACCCTTCCCTTATGGAATGGATCAATTACCAATTATGTTTCTCTAACATGAATTCATTACCGAGTAAATAAATTTCTGTGAACAGAACCATTAATACTATATTAATTAAAATTTATACTCTCTCATAATTAGTTAATTACACGTAATTGAGTCAAATTTGTGTTACTTTCCGAGTTTGGTTGTCACTTGGATTTTATAGTACGTAATTTATATTCTTCTGCTCTGAATTTATTGATAGATTAGACTTTTCAAATTTTTTAGTTTAAATCTTGAGGAAAATCAATCTGCATTCCAAAATTAAATGAATAATTAGATCTCCTTTTTCTATTGGAAGTCCAAGCAAAATGAATTGTACGTCAAAGGACAAATTTAATAAAAGTATACGTTTCTACAATTTGACTAAGTTTCCTAAATTCTAGCGATGTTGTCAATGAATCCGTCTCTAGATTGAATGAAATAGGTTATTCTTAATTTATTTGATTTGTTACCAAGTAGAACAAGAGTTTCATGTACAAAATTTAATTTCAAGGATGCACCACTGTGTTTTGGTACATTCTTCAATTCAGGAAATAATTTTAATTAAATTAATATAGCAAGAATAAGGAAAAAATAACTTTTATTTCTCTATAAAATTTTTGCACGCGACAATTCTCAATTAATGAACAGGGACAACCTTGTATGATATATATATATATATATATATATATATATATATATATATATATATATATCTCATACAGACAGATTTTATTCCCTATCTTGATGGAACATATTTTCCGATTTATCTCTCTCACATAATTCTAAGGGTGAGACGGTAGTAACCCTCAAGGTTGGGGTTCAACCTTTATTTGTGTGTGTGCGCGCGCGTGTTAAAAAGGTGGGTCTCAGTCAGGCGGCACACCTTTTTCTACTATTTAAAACATAAAAAAATTGTCCGCATCTGCATCTGTAACCACACCACACCAAACGTGCTGTATGTGAGACGTTTGCCTTTAACTTGGACTAGAATTCTGACGTGCGATGACGTGGCATCCAAATTCACTGCCACGTCACTCTGAAACAAATGTTGATGCTGAAACAAGATTTTGTATTTATTATAACAATAATAATGCAGTTCCTGAAACAAGATTGTGTATTTATTATAACATATTTATATCTTAACAAAATTTGATTAACATTTACCTAATCACTGTATCAAATTTTTCCAAATTCACTAAATTTTAGCTGTACACTATGAATTGTATTCCCTTTACATTTTTAATTGTCTCCATCCACAACCAAATTCTTAAATAAATACTATAAGACCTAATCACTCTCCTCTTCCCAAAAATAAAAAATCTGATGGCAATTGAAAAAAAACATCTGAATTTCGTACCTTCGCAAGTTGTCCCTCAAAGGTATATGCTTTCAAGTTTAATGAATCCTGGTTGTTTGTTTCTGATATTTACAAGTCAAATAATATTTCAGAGGTTTGATGAATTCTTCATATCAAGGTGGTAGCGCTTTAGCGTATATGCTACAGAAGGGTTCATCGGGCGTTCTGGCTCTAGGAAAACGAACCAGAGATTCAACGGATAGGTTTTACGCCGCCACATCGAATAATCAATTCCCATCAATCGTCGGCGACGGTGTCAGCAACGTTTTTAATCAAGTCCAGAATTACCGGTTGGACATCGATAGCATCTTATCTCAACATGTAAGGCTTTATTTTGATAATTTATGTTACAAAGAATTATTCTTCACTACTTTTTAATTCGCAGACAAAGAAGATAAAAATAGAATTGGAAACGAGCCAAAACCATCATGCCAGAATGGTTGTCGCAGCAATAAGAGAAGGTGTAATGAAGAAACTGAACGAAAAGGATGAACAGATTCAAAGAATGGACAGGTTCAATTCAGTTCTTCAAGAAAGATTGAAATGTTTGTTTGTCGAAAATCAAATGTACAAAAACTTGGCAGAGACAAATGAGGCAGTGGCCAAGTCTTTGCGTACCGACATGGAACAAATCCTAAGGAATGTTGGGGATGGTGGCCGAAGGGCCGAGGCGGAGGATGCCGAGTCGTGTTGCGATAGTAACGCCTGCGAGAAAGAGAGCAAGATGTGCCACAAGTGCAGGAAAAAAGAGGCGTGCGTGTTGTTGCTACCGTGCCGTGCCTGTGTGAGGTGTGCGGTGGTGGGTCCAATCAACTAAAAGAGTGCCTAGTATGCAACACTCGTACGAGTGCAACATTGAATGTTAACATGTCGTTTTAACATATTTTCGTCATCGATATTAATTAGGTGGGAAGAAAGAAAAAATAATCTCTAAAATAGACTTTTAAGGAAAGTAACCGTTTATTCTTGCCATTGCTAATTTATAGATTTATTTTAAACACCTTTATAAAGTTGCCATTCTCTAAGAGATATGTTATTCAAAATTCCTGATTTCAATCACCGGTCTATATGACAACTTCAAATTCAATTAAATACAATATCATATGACTCATTTAATTGAATCTATCAAGTATTGACACATAGATTGATGCTAAATAAAATTATTCACATCATTACTATGACCTATGCATTAATTTGTCCTCCCAAATTATAACTTAGTAGATAGAGTGTATATTTTTACGAGAAATATTATTTAACATCATTGGTGTTAAACACCAGTTTAGGTGACAGTAAGTGTAATTAAATAAATTGCTCTTGTTTGATTCTCATTATTTCTTCATTAAAATTAAAAATATGATCGTTATTCATCACATCAAACCACCAAATTTGAATTTCTCTCTCTTGTATGAGGTCCATAACAGATATATTTTTCATTCTCATTTTTCAAAAAATGAGAAACAAACGAGGGTTATATAATTTCGTATGGTTGATGCAAATCATGAGAATGACAAAGACACCCTGTAATTCCGCAATCACCCATAATTCCGTAAACAATTGAAGAAGACTTTAGGAAGCTTACGTAATTGTTGCAATTTCGTCTTTTATTCTGTTTATTTCTTTTCGAGTTTATTACTTTCCTAGTTAACTTCTTCCTAATTTATTACTTTCCTAGTTTGGGATGGAGATTGGAATATCAGTTTGTTATTTAATGGAGGATGGAAAATAATGAAAGTAGTTTTTGGCTATTCAATTCAGTTTAATTTTCTTTGGAGTGATTCCAAGAATATAGAGAGATTCTATATTCACCATACTACTGGTACCAACGTGAGATTGATCTAGGAGTTTGGTACCAATTTTTGGTATCAAAGCCCACAACTCCCAGGTTCCTTTATTACAGTGTTTCACGTCCCATGCCTGTAACCTACAGTGGCAATTCATACGCCATGGCAAGCAATCAAGATCCAAATGACCAACATCCAAACACCTAGAACACAGACCAGCCCTAGTTGCAGCACCAAATCGATCAGATCGCCACAGCGTTGGAGCAGCTTACTCATCGACTAGATGTCATGGAGGGGCATTACGTTCGAAAGGAGCAGGGGCCCCTTAATCGGAGAGGGCACAGAGCACGAGCAGCCTCGTATCCAACATCTTAGGCAAAATTTTCCCTGAGGTCGTGCTGGTCATGGTACAGGTTATCACCCTCTGGATGAACTGACCAAGAGAAGGAAGGTTGATGAGGTTGATGTGCCGGATTTTTTTGGAAAATTAAAGCCCAACGCTTTTGAGGACTGGCTAACAGCTATCGAGGATTACTTCAATTGGTTTGTCGTATCGTAGGATAATGTTGGAGACGACTTATAAAAAGAGTTATGCAAGGGTTGGTTTTTGATATATTTGTTTGACCAGTTTTAACCTACAAGAGCGTGATCAAAACACAATTTATATGAATGGAAATTTGGACAGAGTTTCGGTATCACGATTACGCAAAACAAGGATTAAGAAGGAGTAGAAATGGAGAATAATCCAAGGCGAAACTTTATCTCATTCCTTAAGGCAAATTGTCCCGCTACGGTACTCACAGTAAATGACATTTATCTTTCAAGATATAATGAATTCACAACTTGTGGTAGCAACACTTCAAACCACAAGAAATCGACGAACTTTTGACAAAATTTTCCCTCTACAAAGGAAATGCATGAAAATGCTATGGAATTAGAAATGAGAAATTGCAAGAGGAGAATGAATATTCAATGCAATTGGTGTACCCAAAATCATGTCTATATGGTCCTATTTATAGATGTAGAAAGGGTGCAAATGAAGTAGTGTGTGGCCAAAACCTGCATCCTTTTGAACATTTGCAACATTTGGCCAAAACCTGTATCATTTCGAAAAGTCGCAACACTTCATTTCTTTCAACTTTGGTCCGCAATTTTTCATTCATCCGAAATTCGTTTCTAGATTTCAAATATATCATGACGATCTACTCGACGAGTAGAATAAGTTGGTCTATTTACTTTTATAATTTGACTATCGGATCAAATTCGAATATTTGGTCGAAGTTGACACGTAGTCACACCTTTTCATTTCCCACTTTTGCACACCTTTTCATTTTCCAAATTTTGTTTAATTATTTGAACCAATTCCTACAAATAAAAAGGTTCTATATGTTTGGATGAAGTTGAAAGGACTTGCACGAGCATGGTGAGGAAGTGTGGAAGAACAATAATGTTGTACACGATGACAAGCAGTCTCTAACTGGGAAGAGATGAAGGAGCGACTGAAGGAAAAATATTTACCCGTTGACTATGAGCAAATGATGTTTGAAGAGATGTTGCAATTTAGGGATAGCTTTCACGAATTAACTGTCCGTAGCAAGATTGTGGAGATTGAGCAATAGACTTTAGCTCGATATCATACCAGATTACGTAGTGAGATACGCAAGGAGATGTGGACTGCTCGTTTAATCAACGTGGAGGAATTATTGAGAAACAAATGGGGCCTTCGGTTGGAAGGACAATGATGTTGACAGACTCAAGGCCTGAACATGTCACCTCACCTTCATTCCAAAGGCCTCCCGTGCTGAAAGATCAATCTAGAGGTGCGGTGAGTGGGGACCAGAAAGAAAGGGCAAAAGCAGCCAGCGAAGGACCCCAATGTTATAAATGTAAGGGCTTTGGGCACTATACTGTTGTGTGTCCTACAAGGGATAAGAAACTAGCCTTTATATGTGAAAATGAATTATTAGTCGTGGACACGGCCGAAGACATGGGTGGGGAAGAGACTAATGGGAGCAGCCACGATGAAGAAGAGCACTTGAGTGCGTCAGATTTACCCAGCTGCGTGATCCATAGAGTGTTGACTGGGACTAAGAAAGAACTCCAGGCTAGTCCCAAGTGGTTGCGTACTAAAATTTTTCACACGCGCATGGAGCATAATGTTCTGGCATTGAATGTCATTATTGATAATGGCAGCGGCATGAATGTGATCTCCGAAGCTGCTGTTGAAAGTTTGGGGCTGAAAACAGAGAAACATCCCACTCCTTATCGGATTAGCTGGGTTAATGAAGCCAACTCAGTCCTAGTGAAGCAGCATTGCTTGGTTAAATTCTCATTGGGAAAAAGTTATGTTGACGAAGCTTGGTGCGACGTGATCCCTATGACCGTCTGCCATATGCTATTGGGACTCTGTGGCTTTATGATCGAACGTGATCCCTATGATCGTCTGCCATATGCTAACGAAAGTAGTTTTTGACTATTCAATTCAGTTTAATTTTCTTTGGAGTGATTCCAAAAATATGGAGAGATTCTATATTCACCATACTACTGGTACCAACGTGAGGTTGATCCAGGAGTTTGGCACCAGTGGTACTCGCTCAGTCCATTATTTTGTACTCATATTTTAATACCTGGTACCATAAACCTATGCACCACCAATCAAATAGATAATGTCAAATACAGAAGAATTTATTACACTTTTTACAATTAAATCCATACCCCAATTCAAATGTGAAAGAATAACAAAATCAAACATATAAATTATAATACATGTTGATCTATCATGCATGACATGACTATATATATATTAGATTGGTAATGCGTCCAATGCCATAGCTAACTGAGTATCTCTAAAAGCTTGACTCCTCTTCTTTTTTTAGATCATTCTATATATACATAAAAATTGACACATTGATTTACACTTTAGTGAGTTGGAAAAAAAAAATTATATATATATATATATATACACACACACACACTCAGTTAGCTATGGCATTGGACGCATTACCAATCTAATTTAAATTCTAATGGAAGAAAGGAGAAACAATGACAAATAGATTAGACGGTTGGTCACGTCGTTTGGTGCATTGGAATTGGGGAAAATGGGCTAAATTTTTTACCAATGTATTCACGATGAATCTGACACTTATAATTCACAGATTAAAATGAATAGAGTCATCATTTGGCCATTAACTGAAAAAATATTAAAATCAATTTTTTCTTTTCTTAATAATATGTCAAATTTTAAAAAATGTGAACCTGATATTATGATTCTTTATTGCTTTTTCCATAAATCTTATGTCCTTTAACTTGATAAAAAAATATCTCTATAAGAAATTCAGTGTTCCACTCAAGGTCAATCATGAGATTTTGAGTGGTTTATGTGACATTTTAGAATGGTGTCCCTTTCATGTAATTAAAAAACACATTAAAAAGAAAAAATACATTTAAATAATATTGTTTCATTATAAAAATATGATATTTAAATATTTGCATATTTTTTTTACAAGTAGTGAATAAGAAAAGTACGCTTAAAGCTCAAAGGTAGCTCCCGAATTTCATCAAAATTCGTATGTCGTCAACAAAAAATCAATCAAGCCACTAACCTCTACATACAATTTCATGTAAGCAAACCATAAAACAAAAAAAATAGCAAATACTATGTGTAAACCTTGAAATGCAACAAATCATGTAAAAATATTTCTTTTAGCATTTCTAGAAGTAAACTCATTAATTAAACTTTCGTAATCAATACGTTCTAGCAAGTCTTGTTCAATATATATCAAAACTAATCCATTCAATTATTCTTATAACATGGTTGATCATGAATAATATTTTAATAATTTTAATTTTGAAATACTTATTTCGACATACGCAACAGGAACATGAATTCAATAGTATTCTATAAGCAAAAAACTGTATCCAAAAAGCAATCTAATCTTTTCAAATAAGTCAATATATTTAGTGCAAGCAGCAAAGACTAGCCGTATAGTTTCTTCTTTTTTATGTTTAACTGTTCTTCATAGGTTAAAGAATGGGGGGAAGGTTCAAGGTTAGTTTTTTACTCTTTACTTTAATCATTTGAATTTTTGGCAGTTTATTGTCTTGTTAGGTTGATAATTGGTTGATGAAGTTAATTGGGCATTTGGGATTGGGCCGGTTGATAAGTGTGTTTTTGCACACTTATTTAGGTTACAAACATGACTTAATTATGAA